TTGAAATATGTTTGACTTTGAGTTGACTTATTTTTGTTAATAAATTCTTGTATTTTAAGAAATTGTGTGAATTCATTCCATGTGTGTGCAGAGTTTTGCTGTTCAATAATGTCAGAGCTCGGCTCACACCTTTCTATTTTGTCCTAATACCATCGCCTTACTGGGCTGGTATTCACAGGACAACCCTTAACAGACAGAAATATTATTTGATAAAATATTAAAATATTACTATTAAATAATATTCTCAGATTCATAGTCCCAACACCTGCAAGCAGCTAGTGGAGCCATTGACATGCTAGAGCCTGATCGTGAGTCATATCTCAGAAACGTGTGTCTCTTTTCGATTTTTTTCCTGACACCACCGCCTTACTGGGCTGGTATTCACAGGACAACCCTTAACAGACCGAAATATTATTTGATAAAATATTAAAGTATTAATATTAAATATTAAATTATATATTCAGATTCATAGTCACAACAACAAAAAAGGTATCGGTAAGTTCAAAGTCACCAGGATGTTTACTAAACAGGAACAAAAGATATTACAGAAAAAGAAAAAAACTGAACTCATTGAGGTTCCTTCTGTGTTTCTAGGTTGTGGGGATTCCCACTGAGATTTGTGCTAACCGTTACATAAGCATAAAAAGCCCCCGCAATAAAATCTTTCACATGAAGTTTGCCTGTGGACAGCAAGTTTGAATGGTAGCTACAGTAAATAATCACAAGTCAACTGACCAGTCAATCTAAAAAAAAATATTAAAAACTTGTAGGACACGAAAGAGATCGGTCATAAGTATATCTTACTATATATTTTACAAAAATGTCTTCCTTTTGCTGTTAGACATTGTCAAGTAAGTTGAAAGCAAGACAAAGCCAGTCTGAAGCATTGCAAACTAAAAAGCTGCTTAGGGTTCCACACCACCAGGGGGCCCACGAGAGCACAAGAACAAATCAAATGCCAGATTTACAAGTGTATATTTTTGTATAGGTGAGAAATAAATCAGTAGCACTGGTAATAATGGTTAAGAATTTCAATCATCAACTAAGCCAGGCCTAAGTTTTGATTCATAGTCATTTTCAGCATTATTATTTTATTTCATTATTATTATTATTATTACTATAGGTAGAAGTAGAGTAGTAAGAGCAGCTACATTTGACACTTCTAATAATAATAACCATAATAATTATTTTTATTACATTTTATCGTTGTTATTACTATTATGGTTATTATTATCATAATTATTATTATTGTTGTTGTTGTGTGACATCTGTCAAGCGTGTAAAGAATTATGCTTTTATTTTTGAAAGGGACTCCCACCAGCTGTGTTCCGGCAATCTGTAGACAAACCAGAGGCTGTATCTGTCAATGCAGTCTCTCAGTCTGCCTCACAGTGTTATCTGTATGTCTCTGAGTTTCTGAGTCGCTTGTAAATGCTAGTTTTACCTTGGAGTAATCCACGTTGTTCAGACCTCCGCAGCAGTCGAGCGCGACAGGCTGGTTGTTTCGTTCAGCAGCACGTCGGGTTTTGCGCTCAGCTGCAGCGTGGCTGTCGCTCATTCACACGGGTATAGACGTGGCAGGGAGCCCCGCTTTCAGGCGTGTCTAGAAGATAACCAATGTTGCTCAATAAAGAGGGCAAGGGTCCGGTTTAATCTGTAAGAAGAGGCTGATGGCCTAGTTGTTATGTACAAATAACCTCTAACCCTGCTCGGTGCATTCTGGGTAATGTGGTTCAAATTCAGTTCGTTTTTTTTTCTCCTTTTTACAGCGTTGTATAGGCCAGTGGTTTTCAAAGTGGGGGCCACGCTAGGGGGGCCTCAGAAAGGTTGGGGATGATGATAAAATAAAAACACTGTTCTTATTCTCAACAGTTTGTTAAATGTTATTCAGTAGTAGTATTCAATAATTGTGTTAAAATATTTTAACAATATTCTTACATTAAAGAAATGTATTGATTATTGAAAAGTTAACAAAACACATTTAAAAAAGTTGATGTTTCTGTGGGTTTGCAAAAGGGTGGCCTCCGCCCAGAAGCTAATGCTGTTTGGGGGGCCACGGTATGGAAAAGTTTGGGAACCCCTGGTATAGGCTATTCAAAGGACTCCATTAAAGCCTGTTTATTTTTTCTGGATTTTATAGATATTCAATCTAAATTGTAACAATCCTGAAAAATTCAAGTAGTATAAAAGAGCAATAAAAACAGAAGAGAAAAATGCTATTTCTGGTTAGGAATAAAATGGCTTTAAAAGCACACATAAGCATTTCCCATCACATGCACATCCTTAGAACATTGTTACCATTCTGAATGAGGGTGGACCTATTTGAACCTCAGACATTGAGTTTTGTGTTCTGACTGTTGAAATGAGGGTGCACACCAATCCATGAGACTGGAAGAGCTTGTAGCTCTTTCAATCTGTAGAGATTTTAGCTACAACTGCGAAGCATAAAGTTGTAAGTGTCATGGATTGGTAATGCTTTGCTCCAGCAGGGATTAGCTGGCTCACCACCATAGAATCTACAGTGAATTCTACAGTGTATCACAGGGTGCTTGTGGAAAATGTGAGACCATCTGGAAAACAAAATAATAAAGCTGAAGCCACTGGGCCCTGCAGCAGGACAATTACCAAAAACATACCAGTAATTCCAGTAAGACCTGGCTGACAATTAACTGATGTGAAGACCTGGGCCAAGTCAAGTGAAGTCCTGGGCCAGCCTGCCGGCTACCGTGAGAGGCATATGGCTGCATTGGGGTGGTGATTGTGTCTTTGTGCCTGGGGCTGCTGTGGCCTTCTGGAACCGTGTTCACCTGCCCTTTGCTGCTTGTGGGAGCTGAGTGAGACCTGCAACATTGCCACCAACAGTGCAACCAGCTGTGCCACTATAGGACAAGGGCTGAACAATGGTGCAATTGGTAGCAATGTTGCCTTGTGGTAAGAAGGTCCTTGGTTCAAAACCTGGTCTGGGGTTTTTCTATATGGAGTTTGCATGCTCTCTCCATTCAGGTGTATCTTCTTTCCAGGTGAAGGTGATTGAACAGAATTTCTGTTTTGATTTTGGCTTGTCCACGCCACAGTATAAATTGCTGTCTAATGAAACCATTCTTTTGCTAATCTGTACTCACTCTGTTGCTGAAAAATATAATCCTGCTTCACCTTCAGTTTTCTAGCAGATGCATAAGAGCTTGGAAATGTTCATATTTTCATTTATCTTGATGAAAAAAAACCCAGAGGAACCCAGCGTGATGTTGCCCCACCATCATGTTTCGCTGTGGGTATGACATTCTTTCAGTTCTGTGTTTTGCTGAACATACCTTTTGGAATTGTGGATAAGAAGTTCCAGTTAAGTTTCTTCAGACCATAACACATTTTCCCAGGAGGTTTTAGGACGTGTTTAGACATGTTTAGATGTGCCGGGCTTAGATGTGTTCTGTGAAAGACAATAATTCTGTGTTTTAACCCTACTTCTTAAACTGGTCATATGTAACATGTACATATGACTGGAACACAACCGGTACTTGTTGGAAAGTCATGCAGCTTCTTTAGTGTTACAGTCAGCCTCTTGAAAGCCTCCCTGGCCAGTTTCCATTTTGTGTTTCCTTATTTATGAAAGTGTAGTATGTATTGTACAAGATAAATTTCACATTAAAGATGGAAAATGTTCAAAAATGGTTTCAGTCTTTCAGGTCTCAGTCTGTATTTTTTAGATGATGATGTGGAGTCTATGTCCTACTCCACTTTGCATTTTCTCCTCTTCACTTATTTGTTCTTCTCAGTAATCCTTTTTTTCTCATCCATTATTCACAGTCAACCTTTCCTTTTCCTTCTTCCTCATTTTCTTATGTGTCTTCTTTTAATTTTGCCACAATTTGTCCTTCTGTTTGTCACCTCATTTCATCCCCACAACCTTTTCCATCTGATATCTCATTATCATTTTCTCTGAATTCCTATTTGTTTTTCCTCTAGCTCTTCATGTTAATCATTTATCACCCATTTTCCTTTTCTTGCAATGCCTCTTGTTAAATAGACATTAATTATTTGCTGCCTCTTTGTCTTTCACTCTGATTGTTTCCTGACCTTCACATTTATAGCACACCTTTTCATTTTATTTATCCACCATCTGTTTTTTTTTATTGTATCGACCCTCCTCTGTTCAGGAGGCGCTCTTTCCAAAATGCCCCCCCCCCCCAATTTGTTTGGAGCATGTCAGATGAGCAGAAGACACCTCATGTGGAGGCAGAAACAGTGGCGCAGTCCGCACGCCTCCAAGCTTTGTGACCAAGCATCATGTTGGTTCATCAGGGTGTTTGATTTGGAGGTGTTCACATGTAGAAAAAAGAAAAACACAAGCATGACATCCAGCCGGTAGGTGAAGATTATGAACATGTTTGAGATTTGGTCTCCTCTTCTATTTTTGGTTCTTCTTTTCTTTTTTCTGTGCACCTGCAAGCAGCTCAGCTGTATACACATTACTGTGCAGCCTATCATGCAAAAATACTTAATCAACAACATAAAAAGCCATTTTTATGGTCTTATGCCTGCATGATGCGTTACTGAAAATGGATTAGCCTTCGACCTTGAAAGACTAACAGTTATAATGACCAAAATTAAATGTGATGACAGCAAGGGAAAACTGTTGAATAAAGAAACTTTGGAAAAGAAATAAATGTCTACAGTATCTGTTGACTATAACTGCATCAGGGTGGTATGGTGGTGCAGTTGGTAGCACTATTACCTTGCAACAAAAAGGTGTTGGGTTCAAATCCCAGCTTGGGGTCTTTCTGCATGGGGTTTGTATGTTCTTTCCATGGATGTGTGCGTTCTGTCCAGGTACTCTGCAAAAACATGACCCTTGGCTTAACTGGTCTCTACATTGTCCTTAGGTGTGATGGACTGACAACATGTCCAGTGTGTATCTTGCCCAATACCCCTGTTTTTCCAGCATGTGTATTTTGGTTTTATTAAAGTTGATTATTTTCCTTCTAGTGCTGCATTGGGTCCCACATCTTGTGAAGACAAAGTTGAACTTGACAAATGAGATGCTTACTAAAAACTGCTTTAAAAAAAAAAATAAAGTGATTTTTTTCCTTCCCAAACTGATTTTGTTTTACTGGGGGTGGGAGTTATACTACCCACGAAGTGTCAAATATTGGCAGCAACATGTTTTTCTGATCAGTTTTTATTATTTTTGTGCAAAGTTGTAAATGAATAAATCTTTACCTCTCTCCACTCCAACCCCCCAAAAAATCTCTTTAAGACGGTTATGTAACAATATATTGTCAAGAATGTTATTATTGACTTTAGTCATCATCAGACATAACAATTCTTCTTATTCTCTCTCTGTTTTTCAAAACACAAAGATGATTTTTCCCATCCCATATATGCAAATTGGAAAGTGAAAATAAAAACAATAGAAATCAAACGGCAATAGTAGTGTAGCAGAGTTAAGGAAAATGGTCAGACAACAGTTTGATTTGTATTTTTATATGATATGTTGTTTACAGAGTTTATTTTTTAGCAAGTCAAAACATGTTTTCTTGTTCTTAGCTCTAAATATTATAAAATATAAAAAATATAAAATGTTATAAAATAGCCACAAAAACCTAATAGGTGATTCTAAAGGTAAGATTATACAAAATCCAAAAGATTGGATTTATTAATATTAATATATTTCTCTCACTGTCTTCTGCATCCAATCTGTCAGCTAACATAAAAAACATAATCACAGTCACTGTACAGCAGTAGTCAAAGACTAAAATGATAAAGCCATTTTTAATTTAAGAGTTTTTCCAAGTGCTTGTCCTTGATTTAGACTGTCTGAATCACTTTCCAGATGGCAGGACCTCAATTTGGCCATGAAGTGGGTGATAAGGGGAGAGGAGAATGTATTTCCCCCTTTTTGTCTTTTTTAAATCCAGGTTATATCGGGTATTTGGTGCCAATACTTTTGCCAGCTTATTTTACTATTTGTTTGATCCTGTTTTTGTCTCCCACTGATAGATTGCCGAACCAAGTGATAAAAGTAAATGTAAGAATAGATTCTATCACAGAATTGTAGAAAATGGTCAACAGCTTTTTACACACTGAAAATTGATTCAATTTGTAGAGGAAGGGCCATCTTTGATGAGCTTTTTTTTTCACTGAATGTCAGCTGTGGCAGGAGATGTGCTTGCTTTATGTTTTATAATTATTTTCTATAATCCCATAATGTTGCATCGTCAATATTCTGCTCTATTACCGGATAAAAGTATGGTGTTAAAAATATGCATTGCACGCATACAGATTTTGTTTGTTTTGTCACACTTAAATGTTTCAGATTATTAAACAGAATTTGCTGTTAGGCCAGATAACTGGAGTAAATACAAAATGCCATTTTAAAATTCTGAATTAACTGTGATTTCACAGTTTATTCAGTTTCACAAACCACACCAAGGCTTGATTGTTGTCACAACTGTACAGTTGGGAAATCCCTTAAATAGAATCTGTCTGACAGCATGAAGCAGGCTAAAAGATCTCAAAAGCAACACATCACATCCTGATCTAAAGAAATTCATGAACAGATGAGAAATAAAGTTAATGATCTCTATTAGTCTGGAAGGGGGTACAACGCCATTTCTAAGGTTTTGGGACTACAGCGAACCGAGAGCCATTATCTACAAAAGGAGAAAAATATCATAGAACAGTGGTGAACCTCCCAAGGAGAGGCTGGCCTATCAAAGTTTCTCTAAGAGCGCATCTAAGCGCATCTCTAAGAGCGCATCTAAGACTCAAGGAACCCAAAACAACATCTAACGCACTGCAGGCCTTGCTTGTCTCAGCTCATGATTCAGTAGCCTGGAAAAAATGGTATCCTTTAAAGAGTTCCAAGGCCAAAATTACTGCTGACCACAAAGTAATACAAACGCTCATCCCATTTGTCCATAATATATCTTTATGATTCCCAACACTTTTGGGAGAATATTCTGTGGACTAACAAGAAAAACATGAATCTATTTAGAAGGTGTAGGTCCATGGCTAAAACTAACACACCACTTTTTTGAAAAAGAACATCATACAGCTGTTCAAACATTGGGGTGTTAGTGTGATGGTCTGGGGCAGCTATGCTCAGGAGTCCTTGCCAATTGATGGAACCAATCATTCTGCTATCGAGCAGAAAATGCTGAAGCTGACAGTCCAACCATTAGTTTATGACCTTATTATCAAGTGCATGTGGGTTATGTAACATTACAATGGTCCACAGCACACCATAGTAAAGATTTTGGAGTGGCCTAGTGTCAGTTCGTACTTAAATCCTAACCATGCTGTGGCATGACCTGAAACAGGCCATTTATGTTCAAATGTCATCCAATGTGGCTGAATTAAAACAGTTCAGCAAAGAAAAGGATTCTAGAATTACCCACAGTGATGTAAAAGACTAACTGCCAGGTATCAGAAACATTTAATGGCAGCTAAGAGTTGCAACTACGAGTGGTTATTTGGTTTAGGGGAGATTACCTTTGGGACAGGTTGTTTATTTCCCTCATTAAATTTAATCATCAATAAAAAACTGCCAGTTGTCTTTGACTGTTGTTACAACATGATTTGGAAATTAAAATGTGACAAAATAGCACAAACTAATCGGAGTTCCTAAGTTTTTACAGTACTAGACCTGAATTTGTCTAAGTACCTGAGTTAAAAAAATTAAGATAAACAGAACAACAGTTCCTTCTCCAGCTGTTCCACTCATTTTTTTCTGTGGATTTTCTGCTGTATGTTGTTTGAACTCTGTATACATTCATCTTTACACATTCCAAACATACAATTTTATTAAAACAAAAATTCTGCCATTTTCTTCAACTTTATTTCAGCCAAGAGGCTTTCACACATAATGAAAAAGAGGCGGAATCTGCGGGAAATACTGTATAACGAGCAGAGGGCCCTGCTTTTCCTTTTTGCCACAATTCCCATATATTCACTTAGTTCACAGGGGACCAATCATGAAAACATGTGGCGTCATTCAAAATCACATGGAAATTTTCCTCATGAAAATACATGGTCGGAATGGGAGGCTGGTGTCTGCTGTAAACATAGAGTGAGCGTGTGATGTCACATTCAGATGCTATGTCACACTTGTGCTACCAAGGAAACATTTTTTATATCTAAAGATACATGGAAAACAGCTGGAAATGAATCGTGTTTATTTGAATACTCTATTTTGGGCAAAAGGATGGATTTTTCTTCATCAAATAAATCTAATTTTGTGTTTGACCATCCTCTTTGTGGGCTACTACCAGAATAAATGAGCAATACTTTTGTCTTTTCTCTTCTTTTTTTCCTCTGGCTACAAGTCAAAAGCACATCTATAGCTCCTTGCAAAAGTATTCACACTGCTTCATCTCCTCCACAATTAGTTACATTCCAACCACAAACCATAGGTGAACATCTAATTCTAAATCTTGTCAAAATGATTGATTTAGGTCAAGACTTTCCTTGCTGAATGAAATCACCTGAGAAGAGCAGCTAATTCCACATATTTGCTATGTCCCCTACAAACTGTAAACCGGATAGGAGAATGGGTTTCTTCTTGCCACTTGTCAAAATAAGGTGAGATCTTTCCATGTAATCCATGCAACATTCATTAACTGTTCACAGTTAACTCCATAAAAGTTACAATAAATGTCCTTATATCCTTATGTGTAATCCATGTAATAATTATT